TATAATAGCTAAATCACCGGTAGTAAATTCGTTATATTATTAAAAAGAAATTGACTCCATAGTTTAATTCCTTAGTTTCTTGAATACGATTATTTTAAGCACTTAAACATTTATACCACCAATTTTAGCCATGGGGTGATTTCCTGAGAGCCGATAATATCACGAATTTCTCATAGAACCCCTCAACAGTGGCTTGCTTTTTTGGCAGCCGATTCGGCCATCGAACCGGAGTTTAAATGGAAGCTGATAATAACCCAAAGCTCTGAGAAAAATTTTGAGATGAGTATAAGAACGGTTTGTTGTAAGTAGCGAGGAGAGGCGGGCAAAGCGGCTAAAATCCTATCTAATTTTTACAGTTTTTCTGTTGAATTAATGTTGCCGCGGGCTTCTGACTGTCCACACATAGTTCTGTTCAGCATATCGATACATAAGTATTTACATTTTACATACGTAGAATCTAATTTTCACGTCGGGGAGTTGACATATTTTGATTTTTTCGATTTTATACGGAAAATTGATGGTTTTTCGGGATTGAAATTATTATTGTTTCATGAAAAATAAATGCACCCAAAATGACTATAGCATATTGATTCTTACACATTTGCACTCACAAAATTGGTTGGTAAATTCAACGAGTGGGTGCATCGACCTGGTATATCAAGTTTCTGCAATTTTTTACGGCAAATCAGTAGATTTTCGGGATGTAGATTGCTTACTTTCAATTCATGAATGAATAAAGCAACGACATGGTTGAACTTCTTTGCATGGAAAGACGTTTAAAATAACAAAATCAAGACGTATTTAATGCAATTGCATTTATATCGAGTCAATTTCTTTTCAATAATATAACGGGATTTTTACTACCGGTGATTTGGGTATTTTAGCCCCAAAATACCTTTAAATCGACTTTATCTTCTAGGAGTTCGACAGAATTTTTCCTTTCTTCGCTTAAATTATTCCGTAGCACTTTTCTTCAAGAATCTGATAAGATTTTGCTTGAGGCAGATCAAAAAACTTAAATTCGATCGAATAGCTTTCTACTTTCACAATACACGGTCTCGTCAAGGTGCGTCTTTGACCTCGCAGTGTTGGATCGTGAATTCTCTTTTTATGCTGTTTGCCTATTTTGAAATCTCTGTAAATGAAAACTAAAGGGGTTGATATGTGCGAGTTAATGACGCGCCTTATCAACACATTGTGTTGGAGTTCACTGCTTGTTTTCTTTACTTATCTTCTTTTCTCCTTGCTTTTTCTTTATTATTCTTTCATTTTTTGTTCTTCTTTTTTCCTTTTTCCCCTTCTTTTTTTCTTTTTTTCTATTCCTCTTTTCTTCATTTTCTTTATTATTATTCTAGCGGACGGCAGAGGGGCGTGCCTTCGGCGCGCTGAGGGGTGCGTACTGCCAATGGCAGTTTGGCCTTATGGTCAGTCCGACCCTGCTCTTCATTTAAAAATCAAAGTATGACAAGAAGTCGCAATCTTCGCAAGCCGAGATAAGAGATTTTGGAGTTTCGACATCGATTTATTAATTAACCCTCAAAAATCTCCGGCGATAATGTAACTTTGCGCCCTCTATCAACAAAATTATGATCAAAATTTCAGAATCGGATTTTTCGACTCAGCTCGAAAAAAACGGCCAAACTGTTTTTACGGATCTTGGCGTTTCTTTGGAAATTTTAAAACCACCTACTGCGTCAACAAAAACAAAAAACAAAAAAATGCTGAAAATTTGAATCGCTGACCTCGGTCTGTAATCCCGTGGACGATTGTCCACACAATTCATCATCACATCACATCACGTTTGGACGTGTTTGGAGCGCGGTTAAAACAGAGAGGAACCAAGCCTCATTAGTCATTGCCTTTAACTAGGCGATGTGATTTTTTACAAGAAAAAGTTTTTGCGGATTGCTCAGAAAATTTTAAGGATTTTGCTTCGTTGTATGCAGAAAATCTACTGAAATTTGCAAAAAAATCCACACAACCGTTTTCGTGCAAAATCTTGGATTGCCTAATCAAATTTGACATTAGCCGATGTGGCTCGGTTCCTTTCTGCTTAGCGCGGTCCATCTACGATAAAAGTAACTATATGTTGCACATGTATGAAACCCTTTTGCGTATACTATTTTTTACCATACACGGAAAAAAATGGGTTGCTGATCTAACAATTAAATTATTAAAATATATGTCTGACATATTTAAAACGTACATTCTACAATAATGGAAAGCTAATTCAGCCACGGGGCTGGTTAAAGTATCATGTTTTAACTTTACAATCTACATTAAAAAATGCCGGACACTTTTTTAACTACAAATTTGTTAATCAGGAATTTCATTTTTCCGTGTGCGTCCGTTTCATGATTATTTTTCATTTTCAAAGCTGCTCCTTCAAATTTTCCCCGGGAGAAATTTTCTCGACGCTGAAAAAATTCCACGCGTCACCGAAATTTTTTATCCCTTCGCGGCTGCTCGACGACCGTCCCTGCACGTGCGCTGCCCCGCCCCCTCTACATTCTTTATTTATCGTTTAATTTTTTTATTTCGGGTTTCGTTTGGATTTTTTGTCCACCGTTTACGAGTCATTTGACTCGATCTCTGGCCGAGCGGCCTAGCTCCCCCCTCTCCCTCCTCCTCCACTCCTCCCCCTCCACCCCTTTCCTTTCAGCTCGGGCGTGATCTCTCCCGCGGGCGCAGGTTTCAGACTCCAGGGGACGCAACGACGCAGCGTTACCCTGTTGCCAATTTTCCACTGGAATAAGTTATTAAAAATGATAATTTGATCATGCTCAAATAAAATATGTTGTAGCATACTGCACAATTTTACCAACACTTTATCGGCACTATGAACACTTTTAAGCGCTCAGCCGATAGGCAGCGCTTTTTGATTTCGACTTGCCTCTGAGTACTAGTATACTAGTGCTAATGCGTTTAAATGGCGCACCAGCTCATCGATGTGTAGGCTTTTTTTTGGGGGGGGGGTCCATTTTTAAAATAAAGAAAGCTGTGAAAACTGTATTTTATGCTTTTAACGTAATGCGCAGGTAGTTTCGATCGTTTGTCTATAAGAAAATTTCTTAGCGGTAGTGTAATTCTTATCGAAATTGATCGTTGAACTCAAATGAAGCCTAAAAAAAACGCGCCTGATGAGCTCAACGGTGAGCTCATTTTCGGGATACAAAAATACGCGTTTACGGTTTCCTTGGTAACCTTTGTCTGCTATCAGCGGATGTTTTATTTCCATTTTCCAGCCAAGTCGACGGAGTTTATACGTCCTTTCTTCATTAAATACATTTACTAACACCTGAGCGCTTTTCTAATACGACAGTATTAGAACTTTCCCGCTTGTTTTGTCACATGAAGATGGGCGGCCCGCCCGAAATGGCCATTGTGCGTAAAGAATAAAAAGTAAGTCATTTAAGTATAATCGGGTTTTGAAAAAAAAAAATATATTTATTGATAAAAGTGAAATAAAATACTGCACAGCAAACATGGATTATTTTAATTCAGAAAAATCTCATTTATGACTGAGCACATTTTGGACTTTATTCGAATGGTTACTTTTGTTTTTTACTAAAAAAAACTTTCGCCAAATTGAAGTAAAATCTTTTTTATTCAGAGAAAATTTTCCTCGACTCGGAAAAATTTTCATTTTTTTGTTTTTGTTTCTTTTTAAAAAAAAAATCCTTTCTATCTCTCTTTTCTGAGTGAAGATTGTGTTTGACAACGTCGACAAAATGATTAACTTGTCTTGAAATTGCAAAAGGTGGAAAAATAAGGTGAATATAAAATACGTTTCCTTAGAAGTCAATGAAGACCTATTTCCAACTGAAAAGAAAAAAGTCAATGATTTTGACAATAACACATGATTCGAAAATAATTTTGAGAAAGGTAAACAACTACCTTAAAATGAGCAAAACCGTCAGTATATTTTCTTCTGTGCCTCTTATTTTTTGTAGCTACCAATCATTGTAATTCCTCGCGATGATCAATTTCCAAATTAAAATGCTGATGATTTTTACTTAAGGTTACAAACAATTATCCTTTTATGATTCTACACAGAAGGCTTCTTTAAACCCCCCTCAGTCGCAATGTGGACTATGTGGAATCGAGGAGCCTCTCTGCAGGCTGATTATTGAAAGACAAAGCTATAGACAAAGAAAACATTGGGAGTATGGAGGGATCCTATTGGATAAAATGCATGGTTCCTATAGACTAAGGGAGAAAATAATGGACTAATTCGTCGTCTACCTGACATAAGGGCGTAACTGCGCTATGCAATGAACCCTGTCCTCTATACGTTTCAATGCTTTTCCGGGCTCATCTCAATGTGTAGTTATGCCTTTATGTCAGCCAAGCGACGAATTATAGGGTCGAATAGTAGAACGTAGTAGGTACGAATTAATAGGTTGCTGTTAGTTAGTCTATTACCTACCTCCCCTGTCTATTGCAACCAATCGCCTTCACCAATAGAACCCCTCCATATCCTTATTTTCCTCTTAGTCTATCAATTTCATAGTCGGCCCGCTGTGGAACGGACCTGTGTAAGGACAACTATGAAAACGACCGAAGAGGTTAGAGAGATATACGGATTAAAGAGGCCTTAACATCTGAAGAAGGACTGTGATACGACCAGAATACGGTGCACTGGAAAAAAAAACACACAGTAGATCTAGAGTCCAGACTCTTAAAAACATCGACAAGAAAAAATGCTCTTGATTCAATCGGATTTTTGCTTAAATCAAAATCAAGCCTCTTAATTTGAGCAGATTTCCTTTTGTTTTAAGCAAAATTCTGATTGAATCAAGAGTATTTTTCTTGTCAATGATTTCAAGAGTCTGGACTCTATATCAAATGTGTTTTTTTTCCAGTGTGAGGATTTATCGGAAAGAAGCGTCCTCAGTTGGCCCCTTATCAGGACGAAGCGTGGTATTTGTACTTACGCTTAGATGCAACTATTTCTACTCCGAAGATGTCTTGGTTGCATACATAATGAATTGAAGGCGTTTTACTCTTTTGACCGCAGAGAAATTCGAGCGCCTAATCAAATCACGCAAATTACGTCGCGGTTCCTGTATTCATCACAATCGAGTGATTTGCAATGATTTAAACGTACAAATAAGCATTTTCGTTCTTTTTTTAAATTACTTTACAATAATTACAATACATCTTATTTCTAATCTAATATCTATCATAGTCTATACACATTGAATTATTGTTATATTTCCTTGTCCGTTGGGTTCATACTACTTTTATTGAATATGATCTCTGTTGTTGCTATTACTATTCCTCCAAATCAACTTCTTTCAATGTGCGCATGTCCTCTTTCAAAATATCGCTTTTTTCCATGATTCGTTTGAATCGATTTCCCTTATTCCTTTAGCTCATTTATGCTGACAAGATACATTCATAAAAGCGAATTTAACCGAAAGGAGCTGTTGTTGCACCTGAAAGTCTATCGATATATTGCCTTCTGAGAAAATTTGTGTCTTCATAATTCTTTTTGGAAGAATGGCGCTGAATTTCCGACTGGCATGAAATTTCACCCTCTAGAAAATTGAATTAATTATGTAAATTTTGACCCGTCTTTCGATCTATTGGTCTCGCGCAAAAACTGTATTTAATGTTGAATAATGGCGTTTCAGGCCATTTTGAATATTTTGAGACCCGATGTCAATTTCTCGATTTCCCACACGACTCCATGTAATCAACCGCACATTACTTCATTGTAAATGTAGTTTGTCATTGTGTAGTGTAATTTTTGCCCTTTCGACTCATGCTTCATTTAAATTTTGTATTTTCCAGCGATTTGACAACGAAGCGCGGCGCCGAAAATAACCTGTAGTTTATCATATAATGTTTCGGCGTGTCTCCTAATTGCTCGGTGGATTTTGTGCTTGTTCTTATTCTTCGTCCTAGGATCGCTGGAGCTACTGACCCCCACTTAGGTAAACAGCACATGCTTAAAGAAGGGGAGGGTGNGGGGGGGGGGGGGGGGGGGCTCAAAGACTGCGGCATCGCGTTAAATCATTTTCCCTCTTGATGATTTGTACGATGCGTTCAAAGCTCCGTGACTATGATGACGGCTCACTGCAAAAATCGAGTAATTTTTTTCTTTCTCCGCGAGATTAGTTTTTCGTATAATTATGTCGTGCGTGTTTGAAGGAGGGGCGATGCGAAACCGTCACATACTATGGGTTTGTTGCAAACTTTTGCAAAACGACATGTAAGTCATTTGTTTTCCTATGTAGGAAGGTGCTTTTATGGTTGAGCCGGAATAGTAGCTCTATATCGAAAAACTAGGTAGTGCGCGTGTAGTGTTAGAGAACTGGCCGTCACATGACCCTACGCCCAAAAGGCACTTTGCGCCTCCTACGGCCCACTTCGCAGGCCCCCGCAAGCTTATCTAAACAAAACGTGCCTATTCTGCCGTATACTAAGGAAGAACGCCGTATTCGAGAGTTGCCAAATTTCCTACGATAAAATGTTTATTCTGGAGGAAAATGGTGAATATTTTCCTTTTAAATTTTCAGACACATTGGATCAAATTACGAACAAAATTATCTGAGAAATTGGCAGAAAAATATTCAACAATTTTCCTGAAAACTGGTGATTTGCCAAAGGAAATTTGGCAACGCCTGAAGGTTCATACGGCGTTTTTCCTTAGCACGGCAGTATTGAGAGACCATCACCTATCGATTGAAAAAAGAATCATGATAATTGACCATATTCTAAAGACATTACGATCTTTAGAACGAACCGTGTCAAGAAATGAACATTTACATTGTTTAAATGAGAAAACTCACAATTTTATCAAAATGTCATGGCAAATTTTACGTACTTATGTTGAGGTTGTCAGGACTAGAGTACCCATAAGGAAAGTACATGTCAAAATGTGGAGTTCTTGGGGCTCACAAGGGCAGCCACCCTTCTAACTCATAAATTGCTGCCAATCTTCGATTTCCAATATCAAACTAAGATGGCCAAGAATGTTCATTAATGAGAGTTCTTCCCCAAAAATGAAAATTCATGCGAACACTAAGTGGATCGCATTTAGCAAAAAGAAACCATCCCGATTACCGTGTTTTCAAAATCGTGCAACTTTTTCTTTACTTTTAAAAATACTTGATAAATGCACAGTAATAGAATTTACACAATTATTTTCTTTTAAAATTAGCAATTTTTTTGGTAGGAAGCAAAAACCATTTGCTTTTCTGGGAGATTTTTGAGATAATTATGAAGAAGCAACATTTTTACAACACTGTCATCGCGAGGGTTCCTTTTTGCTAAATGCGGTTCAAGTCAAATACGTGCTTTACAAACGACGCGACGAATCGTAGCAATTGAAATGATAAATCTCTCTGGATTGGCGTACAGTTCGAAATAAATGCCGATTTCTTCATTCGATTCTCATCGGTCCAATCGCTCCTGGCTAGCGGGCCGATTATTGAAACTGATGGATAAAGCGATAGACAAAGAAGATAGGGAGTATGGAGCGATCCTGTTGGTTGAAATGTGTGGATTCTATAGACTAAGGAAGAAAGTGATGGACTAACTGTCGGGTCTTTAGTGGATTGCCGTTAGTTAGTCCATTATCTACCTCCTATGTCCGTTGCCACCACCTGCTTCCACCAATAGGATCCCTACAAATCCCTTTTGTCGTCTTTGTTTATAGCTTTGTCCATAAGTTTCAATAATCGGCCCGCAGAGGGAGATTGAGCAAATGAGAGTCGGGTATGAAAATCTTTTCAATTTTTTTGGCCGTCTTTTTGCCGACGCGGGCCTAAGAGAGCGCGAAGCGCCCCCTTGTAGTTAGGCCGCGAAGCGGCCAGGGGGCATAGCCCCCTAGTTATCTACACTCACCTACATTCTCCTAAGCACCTCGCTCGACGAGTTGATCCCAATCTCGATAATGCTCTATACAGAAGCTAAGCGGGGCGATTTCCTCAGGGACCTCCGTGGAGTTGGTGTTGTCTGAGAGGTCGACGGTGCAGCGCCACGCGCCCTCGTGCAGGCGGCAGCGAGCGTTGCGCGCGAACGGGCAGCGATCATGCATCGCCGGGGGGACATAGGTGAAGTGGACGAAGTACGAATAGCATTGGGCCTTGGCGTAGCGCCGCTTCTCGATCGTGTGGCACTCGGTGAGGTTGAGACAAGTGTCCTCGCCGTCGTGGAGGCGGCGCAGCTCCCGGAAGTGCCAGTCCCAAGCTCCGGCCAACTGCAAAGGAGGGAAATCAAAGCAACAAGACTTGAGGAATCGACCACCAGATCGGGTCACTTGAGAAAACTGCCGTGCCAAGGAAAAACGCCGTATGAGCCGTGAGCACGGAGAGAAAAACTTCGTGCATAGGACCAGAAGTTGAGGTCATATGGTTGTCTGAAGTTTTCTGATACCGCATCCGACAACTTGAGGTCGAGCTTCTGAAGTTCGGGTCAGACATCGAGGCACTTCGGTAAGTACCGAATTCTTCAGATGTGTGACCTGAACTTCGGAAGCTGGAGCTCAAGTTTTTACATACGTGATCCGAAAACTTCAGAGATCCATATGACCTCAACTTCGGGTCCCACGCACGAAGTTTTTTTCTCCGTGAGGCGTGCTCAAATTTCCTTTCATAAAACGCGAATTTCCTGGTAAATTTATGAATATTTTACTTTCAGATAACTTAGTTCACAATTTTACCTAAAAATTCTGACAATTTAAAGGGAAAATACTCACGACTTTCCTGAAAGATGAACATTTTATCGAAGGAAATTTGGCAACTCTCGAATGTTCATACGGCATTCTTCCTTAGCACCGGAGAAAAGTCTCCTGGGTCCAGAGTCCGGACACTTGAAAACATTTTGACAAGAAAAATACTCTTGACTCAATGGGATTTTTGTACGGGCGGATCCATGGGGGTCTACCTAAAAGAAAGGGGGAAAAATGAGAAGGAAGAAAAGAGGAAGGGACATAGGAAAAATGGAGGAAAACCTAACATGACTCGAGGTGACGAAATGACGAAATGACGAATTCATGACGAAATTGACTCAATCTTCACATTGGATGCTCTAAAAATCCACAAATTTTCTGGAGGAGACCTCCAGACCCCCATTACACCGCACTATGGTCCGCAGACCGTATTTAACGGAACTTTATTAAATTTTGAAGGTGCAAAAATTAAAGTTTGGCACCACAGTTTTATCATACATACTCTGAGGGATCGTCACCTGACTTTTCATCAACTAATAATGATTTATATTACTGCGACGGACCCTGAGAACAGAGCGCGCAACCTGCAACAGGTCTTCATTAGCTAATTGTGGGCCGCATTTGGTAGTGCGTTGGAAGGTGTTTATTTGACCAAGTTACGCCTCACGTGAATTTTTGGGAAACATGGATCCACCTGATGGCAAATGACGTAATTTTTACTCAATTGAGGAGCTTTTCGGAAAAAGGGCACATACCGAAAAAACAAGTCGTGAGAAAAACGCATTTGAAGTTTTCATTCCTACTTTCTGGGCACTGATGATGACATACATCGGAACTGGGGCACTCATATCAACGTTCATACACCCTAGAATAATGAATACCGACCATTGGTAAAACTTACACTTACTTCAGTGTTGTGGGAGGAATTTTTTAAAATTTTCCGTTATGTGCCCTTTTTCCGGAAATGGACCGGTGGTTATAGGTTTTGGCTTTCAAAGCTAAATTTTCAAGACTTTCACGAGTTTCTAAACGAAAATAAATCATAATTTCAATCGCAAACGTTCGGGTGGATCATTTTCGATCATCGTTAATAAAACAGACAGCAAAACACGCGAAAAAATCGAAAAATTAAAACCCACAAGAGACCATTAAAAATTGAATTATTAATAATTACAAAATTTCATGTGTCACCGGTAAAACGCGTAGACAATCACTGCAACCCGATGATATTGCATTGATTAGTAGAATCAGTGCGATGCATCTGTAATGAGGGATCCTTACTTATATATCAGTACCCAACATCTGCCTGCCTGCGCCCTGCGCGCTATCTCCTAAACGTCGCGTCGCGGCGACCGTACCCAGGGGCGAAAAGATGAAATACGCCTGTTTCAGCCTCACATAACTTGGTCTCTTAGCTCCAAAAATTGATCAATTAAGCTGAAACTCGGGACATTGGTACATTAGGATGCGAGGAATCCGTTTCTGCCATTTCCGGAAAAAGGGCACATACGCGTATGTGCCCCTTCTCCGGAATGCTCCTCAATTCTAGCTGGAGCGCCATTCAGCGATGCATTCACGACTGCAAAAATTTCGAAGGAAATCGACAAGCCCAGCGTGCATGGAGGCTATTTCAATTTTAATCTTCCGTCACATTCTTACGGAGCAATGATACAACTATTTGAACTCTCCGGAATGCGTAAGGTATCACGCCGCATTTGAAGGCGTTTTCAAAAACAGCCAAGTTCCGATACCCGGATTATCGTTTTGCATCGTTCATATTATTTTGTTTTCATTTCTAACCTCTTGTTTATTCTTAATCCTCGTATAAAAACTACCCATTTGCTAAATATAATTCTAGCTGGAGCGCAATTTAGCTTTGCAATCACCACTGCAAAAATGTCAAAGGAAATCGAAAAGGCCAGCGTGCATGGAGGATATTTCAATTGTAATCTTCCGTCACATTCTTACGGCGCAATGATACAACTATTTGAACTCTCCGGAATGCGTGAGGTATCACGCCGCATTTAAAGGTGTTTTCAAAACAGCCAAGTTCCGATACCCGGATTATCGTTTTGCATAGTTCATATTATTTTGTTATATTCCGTACCAGTTGTTTAGTCTTAATCCTCGCGAAAAGATGAAATACGCCTGACTTAGCCTCACAAAACTTGGTCTCTTAGCTCCAAAAATTGATCAATTAAGCTGAAACTCGGGACATTGGTACATTAGGATGCGAGGAATCCGTTTCTGCCATTTCCGGAAAAAGGGGACATACGCGCATGGGCCCCTTTTCCGGAATTCTCTTCAATTTTATTAATTTTCATCCGAAATGTTTATGATTTTCAACGCTGCAAACAAACGCCGAAATATTATAGAAGTCAGTGAAATTTGTAATTTTTAGGAAACCCTAAACTGTTTTTAAATTCTAGTTGACGCTTTGAGAATTGAAAATTCTTGTTCCACGTATCCTTAAGTTTAAAGTGATGCCGATTTAAATGTCGTCTTTTGTCACCTAACGGTCGAAATTATTTTTTTTCTCTGATTGCATCTCCATACATCGAAATGTGGAATATTCCATGCTTAGTTGGTGTTTTTGCGAGCGTTGACTCCCCCAGCATGTAGGTAAAATTTTTCTCAGACACGAAAAAAACTAATCTGCGGTATTTTCAGTCACTGAGTCTGAAAATGACCTTCGTTTTTTCCTATCACCTTTCCTTTTTCCAAGGAAGCGACTTTTTCCCGAGATTACGAACAAATTTGACGTATTTTTGTCACGCATACAATACCTTCTGATACATTTTCCTGGACCTGCGGTAGAGCAGTTCTTATGTACTTTACGCTGATAAATCCGAATATGACCTCGGTTTTTTTTCATGCTTCAGTTCTCCGATAATGCCGAATGCAGTCACCTGATCTCGACCGGGAGACATTGGTGGTATTTTTTTTATACGTGTTCTTATTGATGCGTCAGAACAGGGTGAAAAAAATCATTATAGTCTTAAAAGCGCCAGTAACCACATTTGAAGTCAAACTTCTCGGTCAGGATGTTAATATTTTGTCGGACTGAGATGTAAAATGAAATCAGCGACCCAAAAATTATAAGATTCATCAACTTTTATGACGGTGCATTGTATTTTCGAATGAAACTCCGTTAAATCCAGTTCGTGAACCATACTGCCGTGCGAAGGAAAAACGCTGTATGAACATCCCTGGTAAAAATTGGCAGTAGAATCTGTGTGCCAAAATACCATAGACCTACGGCCGGCTGTAAGATTTCCAATCATTAATATAAACTTCGAAGGATTCTGCCTTTTTCTATTTCACTCGAGGGGAAGTGTCCCCTCCCGGACTCTCTTCCCCACCCGGTGACTGACGCTACGCTGTGCTGAACGGTTCAGCCTGNGGCCGTAGTATCTTGATTTATTTTGCGAGGAAAGCTCCGTACTTTTGATGGATGCCTGCCATTCCTAATATATTAGAGCGCCTTCAGTTTCGTATGATACTGTGCAATACCTCTGGTGTGAAATAGTTACTTCAAGCGCCGTGGCACGCTGCGGTGCGGCAGGCGGGCAGTCAGCGCGGAACGCGCATTGGTGCCTACAAACCTAACAGGGATACTTCACGCGTTGCGCAATGCGTGAAGTATCCCTGTTAGGTTTGTAGGCGCCAGTACGTCGTCGCTCCGCTTTGCGTTAGGCTCTAGTATTTAATCTGGCGGAGTCAGCGTTTTTCAACTCATGATTTTGAAATGTTTGCACATCCTGTAGGGATTATTCTCGTTTTAATTGATGAAAAAAAAAATATGTATTAAAGGAAAATATAACGTGTGTTTAGTAAATATTAAGGTGGTTCCGTATCAAACTTAATGATTTCCGAAGCACACGAATTTCTACACTGAAAAAAATGGTATGCTGTTTTAGCACCTAGGATGTGAAAAATGTGTCTGGTGATCCTATGATGCTGCCTTGATTGCCCACGTAGTTGAATTTACATTCATAGGATATAAAGTTAACTGGCGGGGCAGTAAAGGCAGCATATTGGGATCACCAGACACATTTTTGACATTATAGGTGCCAATGCAGCATATTACTTTTTTCGGTGTACAAAATTTCTCACAGCCTTTTATAATTGATGGCAAAAAAGCAACAGCCAGGCGATAAAGTGTAAATCCCGGCTATAGGAACTACGGCGGCCGGCTGCATAATTTTTTATCGCTTCGTATAGCCCGGCCGTATGATTTTCTCCGCATTCTCCAGCTATATGATTTTCTGTAGCCCTCTCTAGCCGGCTATAAGAATTCCTATGGTATTTCAAAAACGCAGCTCTTATCGCTAATTTTTACCAGGGATTTGACAGTTGCCAAATTTCTCTGGATAAAATGTTTATTTTTGAGGAAAACTATGAATATTTTTCTTTGAAATTTTCGGACACTTCAGATCAAATTAGAAACAAAATTATCTAAGAAATCGGTAGACGAATATGCACAAATTTGCCTGAAGATTAGTGACTGGCCAGAGGAAAGTTGGCAACGCCTGAAGGCTCATACGGCGTTTTTCCCTAGCACGACAGCATAGTGCGCCGCCCGCCCGTCCATGGTGTCTGGATCCGAATTTTGCAGTGGCGTGGCGTGAATGATCGATTATCGATATTTCCCTATTTGAAACTATGGTAAAGAATCGATTATTAAGGTGTTCGTTGCGAGCACCCTGATTATTGATTCTTTCCACAGGTTTAAATGTCAGATCAATCGATATATCGGAAAGCACGCCACGCCACTGGACTTTTGCTTGAATCAGAAGGACATCCGGCTAACTTAAGAGGCTTGACTCTCGATTCAAGCAAAAATCCGATTGAATCAAGAGTAATTTTTTTTTAAAAATAATTTAAGTCGGAACTCTGGATCCAAGAGACTTTTTTTTTCCAACGTATGAAATCATTAGGAGGTATGCCCCCTGTCCGCTATGCAGTTAAGCCCTCAGAGAGCGCTTCGCGGACTCCTGTGAGTTAATTTAAATAAGCTTACTCATCGAGGGACTGCATCCTATCCATAGCCGGAGAAATTATGAAAATCGCCTCAGTAGATTTTCAGAACCAAATTATACTGCCGTGCTAAGGAAGGACGCCGTATGAGCCTTCAGACGTTGCCAAATTACCTTCGATAAAAACCGAATTTTACTAGGAGTATTCTTAATATTATTTTCCAAAATTTTCAGACAATTGTGTACGCAATTTAATCTAAAACATCTGCAAATTTCAAGGGAAAATATACTTAAGTTGCGTAAAAAATACATATTTTATCAAGGGAACTTTGACAACCCTCGAATGCTCATACGGCGTTCTTCCTTAGCGATGGAGTATAGCTATGCAGTTGGGTGAATTTGGACTCCTGAACTCCCAATGTAGGCATGACTGGATTTCTTCACGTTATCAAACTCACTCCTAAGCATTATCCTTACTCGAATCTTCCGACATATAGAAACTCCCTTTGCATAAAATTATCCTACTCAGAACAGGATTAATTTGACAGCAATAATGGGTCATACTTACAGTGGATATAAAAATAATCATGATCAAGACTAGAGTGGTTTTCATACTTCTTGGTTCAATAATAAGATTCTTTTTAACCTAAAACACACAAATTATTCTGGATTAAAGGGTAGAATTCGGAAAATTGCTAACAAAGAACCGAATTAAAATCCAACTTTTTATGAAATATGTGTACGCACAGTTTTTAGATGAAAAACCCAAATGATGAACGTAAAATTCGTCGTATTGTTACAATGACAAAACAGGTTATGATACCTAGTGAAAGTAAAGAAAAGTCGTATGCTGGGATGAGATTCGGAAAGCTAAATATTGAAACGTTTCAAATTGTCACCTGACAACTACTTATTTAATTACACATTAAGCGGTGGTTCTGGTTATAAGAAAATGTTAAGGAATTTTAGCCAAACCACCAAGGAGAACAAAAACTTAATATTAAAGCAATTTTACACGCATTCTTGAAAAATACGAGAAAGTTATCTAATGAAACTTTGTGACCGTGCAACTCAATTAAACTGCTCTAACTCTCACCTTTTCGTCACTCGATTGCGGAATTTTAAAATTCCTATTATTGAGTCATTATTTTCAAGGAAAAAGAATATGTTTTAGCAATTGACATTTTGAAAAAATATCAGGTAATACCGAAAAAAAAGGAATTATAGTAAAATACCAATAAATCATGATACAAGGTGGAGAAATGGTGCTTGATCCACGCCATCCACACCATTTCGCGGGGAAAACAAAGCCAAGAAATTCTTAAAAGTATAATTAGAGTCAAAAATAATTTTTTTTTTTAAAATTCTAATGACCACCATTCTTTCTTCACCATTTCTCCGCCTTGTTACATACAGTTCGGGCCACTTATTATTGTTCTAAATCATGATATTTGTAATACCTTTAACAGAAGAAATTGTAACGAGAAATCTGCGATGTTAAATATCAAGACACGTGTTTTCGAGTTTTCCCATCTATTAGAACTTCGTCACTAATGTCAATGTCTCCAACCACGAGGTTACTCCTGAAGCCGAGACATTAATTTGACGTGGATGTTGATAATGTGTATACTTATCTCGGCATTCATCACCTACGATTCGTTGCTTGATAAAAAATAGCCTCAAATTTCCGACATATCGATAATCAGTTATTCAAAGCGAGATTGTCACTAAAAATCGTCTCTTTTTATTTTTGGGCTCACAGTGTTGTGGCTTTTGCATGAGCGAAATGTTCCAAAGGATGTGTCCCATCAAGGAGTTTTCTTTGCGCAAAAGATGGGAGGGTTCCAGCATGATGAGAGCAGGTTGAAGCTGAAGGGCCACAGGGCCAGGGGCAGGGGGGGGGGGCTGGGGGGCACAGTGGATTGAATGAATCAGAGAGGTCGGACATGAAATGTTTGACTAAAACTGCAAATTTTGATGTATATTTCGTCACATTTTAAGTTTTAAGGGGTGTTCCAAGAAGGAAATTTCACGAGGAAACCGATGAAACCACTTTTAAAATCACCAAATTTTGTTTAAACGGAGTTATAAGCGTTTAAAGTTTCCAAAGTTTGTCCGACTTCTCCTATATTTACTCGATACACTGTGCGCCGCATTGCCTGGCGACAAATTCGCCGCTAGTTCGCCTTCAAATTTGACGACGCAACCCAACACCACACCGAAGTTAGTTTAGTTGCATCTATCGATTGGCTGTATCCTGGATGTTTCTCCGCATCCTGAATTGGTCATGGGCGGTATACTGCCGTGCTAAGGAAACACGTCGTATGAGCATTCGAGAGTTGCCAAGTCTCTTCCGATAAAATGTTTATTTTTGAGGTAAATCGTGAATTTGTTTCCTTAAAATGTTCAGAAACTTTAGATTAAATACGAATAAATTTCTCTGAAAAATTGGAAGAAAAATATTCATAATTTTTACTGGGGAATTCATGTTTTATCAAAAACAATTTGGCAACGCCTGAAGGTTCATATGGCGTTTTTCTTAAGCACGGCAGTAAAAGAGGGGCGTCTAAGGAGACTTCAACGCAAAGCCATGAGCATGGTGGGCACTTTAAACCTGTGATTCTCTTTGGCTGATTCTGCCTTTGGTGAATGTTGCCAAATGTCTCTCGAAAAAAAACTATTCTTAAGGAAAGTTAGGAAAACGTTTTTTATATAAAAAAATAACGAAAGTTACTGATACTCATATCGTACTTATATGGATTTTTGTGTAGCTTAGAGCGTTCTCTGTCTTCGTTGTCTAGCAGATTTACGGTTAAAAAAGTTTCAACGAAGTAATGAGGACCATACTGAGGAAGGAAAACCCATTATGACGCAAATGCTGTCCTTTTTTTCTCTGCTTTCCAAATGTTCTACATGGAGACGTTGCATGTCACTCATCAGCTCCGTACATGCGCAGGGAGCATTATTCTCAGAATGTCAACGAATTATACTTTTATTTTCCTTCTTTTGGTTCGCAGAAAGAGAGATTTCCAAGAAACTCGTCGGAGGTTTTTTGAAAAGTGCGACTGAAAATAGCCTATGCACGTCAACATTACAGTATAAAACATCCCGCATCACAACCAGTGTCCAATCAGCGGGTGCTTGAGGTGTCTTTATGTGTTATTATGTGTTTTATGTGTTCAAAAACCACGTATATTTTTTGTGACCCAACTCAGAAAAATAGACGAAAAAGGTACGAAACACCTATTCTCTCTTGCAGGATTTAGATATATTTACCCTTTAAGATTTGAGGGTAGAATATTTGTGTCAAAAATTGGAGTTCCCTAGTTGCTGAGGTCGTTTCATTTGAATATTACGTACACCAGTAGAAATGGTTTGAGTTGACTGAGACAACACGTTTTCTTGATCATGGCTTTCTTAGGTCAAGACAATTTTGCATTGAATCAACGCCTTCTCTACTTATATTAGGAAAAAAGTTGTCTTGAAAGAGGCCAAGAACGTTTTCTCGAAACGTTTTTCTTGAGACAAGAAAATGTTTTCTCAATTCAAGTAATTATTATTTCTTGAAACATGTCACTTCCTGACATTCCTCACGTTCCTGAGACAGGACAACGGCGAAGTCATGTTTCGAAACTATAATTTCCTTCAATTGAAGTAACATTGTTTTCTGGATCCAAGAATTTTATTGTCTCGACACAAGACAACTGTAGCCAGTTACAAACCCTTCTTTTCTTCAATAAAAGCATTCTGGTTTTTCTGATCGAAGACAACAGAACCAAATATATTTTTAATCGGGGATTCATGAGTTTTATGTGACGCAAGCAGTCAGCAATCGCGGCAATTTGCAAGAGGCATGTTCCTGGACTCGTCAAACTGCAATAATTAAATGATGCAATAATTCAAATTGCAATAATAAAAGTATTACCGTTCACCTCTTTTAGCAAATCTTGTTGTCATAAAACAAGACAACTATCATGGCATGTTCCGAGTTTCCAATTATTCTAAAATCAAAGCAACGCCAGTTTTTTAGTCCAAGACAACGAAGACTTGATTCAAAACGCCGTTTTCCTATCGCTTTTTTCAGGCCAACTGTTGACCTATACCAAATCTACACAGCCTCAATTCAACCAATAATTTATACCGGTGTACAGCATTATTTAGGATGTGTCCATTTTCATTAATTTATCTATTTTTCAAGCAATTGCGAAGAAATTGTTACGACTGAGAGTTAAGACAACACTCTCTCATGGCGTCACAGACTGGAATAAAAGATTACACAACTTGAACGTTTTTCGTAATCTTTGATTGGCTCATTCTCAAATTCCTTTCTCCGCTCCTTCTCTCATTCCGTTTGTCTCTTGTCGAACCCGCAATTCCTCGGTCCATTCTAGATTATAATCTTTGCAATTGGTGAAAATGTAATCTTTATTCCCGTTTGTGAAACTGGGGAGGCCTAAAATACGGTAACCAATCAGAAATGGATGCACATTGTCTTAACTCTCAGTACCCAAGTAGCATTTTTCAATGTAAAAGTTGCAACTAGTTGAAACAATGTTGGTATTCGTTGCAACAAAGTTGCAACTTTCGGTCAACTTTTGGTCGATAAGTGCCGATTTTCGACGATCTGATCAGAGGACAAAGTTGCAACCTGCTGAGATTACAAAATTGCTGAATCAAAGTTGTTTAAAATCTAAAGATAGGCAACCAGCAATACTTTGAAGTTGAAACATGTTTCAACTTAGTTGCAACTAGTTCCAACAATGGTAGCTCCTTCGGGGGAGAGAGTAGGCAATCTGCACATCAATCTATTAGTTGCAAGAATCAAACGATTTTGTTTCAAGTTGTTGCAACCTCTGCTACTTGGATATAAAGGGACTCTAGCCAAGGCCAAGGCGGCTTCACTTCTCCTCCGTGTTATTATACGACCGCTCCGTCTTTATGTCTTTGCCTGCTATAATGGACCACTAGACAAGGTACGAGTTAAAGGATTCTGACACATGTTTCTTAACCAGAATTTCACGTAGAATACGACTCGTGCAACGAAAATTACTAAAACCAACTCCTAACGAAGATAAACTCGTTTTTATTTCACATTGGTTACGAGAAATTTGAACTGCCCGCTCACAAGAAACTCAAAGCTCTACGTGAGTCAAATCGCGCACTACAACGGTTTCAGCAAGCTTCTCTATCGAGCAATGTCCATCTCCCACCATGTGTTGTTCAAACTATAAGCAATTTGCTATAGCTGAGCCAAAGCGTCAAGATTGAGGTTGCCAGATTTTTATATCGCAGAGACTGTCATGATAAACATTTAGCGCCCGATGTGAATCGCGGAGAGCATTGAGTTTTCATGAGCGGGTGGTTTGAATTCACTCATCAAGAATCATTAAATATCTTCGTAAGGAGCTGATTTTGGTAATTTTCGTTGTGCGTATCGTGTTCTACGTGAAATTTTGGTTAAAAAACATGTATCAGAATGCTGAAATTCGTACCTTGTCTAGTGGTCCATTGTTAAATCCGCAATCCATTTTCTCCCGTATGTTAACCTCCCTTTGTGACCTCCTTTCAGTGCCCTGAGTAACAATCCTCTACCGCCGGCTCTCATCGGAGCGGCAAAATGGCCGCATCTTCAGCGGTCACACTCCTCCTGGTATTCCTCTGTTTGAGCGAAATCCTTCGAGCGCAAGTCGAGGCCGCCAAGAAGCAAACCAAGACCAAGCGAACCAACACCAAGCGAACCAACAGCAAGCAAACCAACACCAAGCGAACCAACACCAAGCGAACCAACACCAAGCGAACCAACAGCAAGCAAACCAACCCCGAGCTACCCACCCCCTGTTTGGACCTAACAGATGTCCCAGAAGGATGGATTGTCACCGCCAGTTCCAATTATCAGAGATGGTGCGGATCCACGCAGGGATTATTTCTTGCGGTAGAAAAGAACAAACTCTTTCATCTACAATGTACAAGTGCCACGGCGCCACAAGCCAAGGCTGCGATCTATCATGTGACCAGCTACACGCCCAATACACAATTGACCTTCAATGGTAACGATCTATGTACCGTCAAGAAGTATGGGTTGAGCACCGGGATAAGAGCAGAGCAACTTGCTGATAGGCTCGAAGGCACCTCTCTACCTTACGGCAAGTTTATTTGTTTGTTCTTATTCTTCCGTCTAGAGAAAAATGGATCGCGTTAAGCGGACAGGGACCAAGCCACATCAGCCATTGCCAAATTTAATTGGGTGTTTTAATTTGTACATGGAAACGGTTGAGTGTACTTTGGGCAAATTTCAGACATTTTTTTGCATAGTGCGAAGAAAATTTCTTGAAATTTTCAAAGGAATCCGCTCAAACGCTCTCTTATCCCTGGTAAAAATTAGCGATAAGAGCTGCGTTTCAAAATACCATAGGAATTCTTATAGCCGGCTAAAGAGGGCTACAGAAAATCATATAGCTGGCTGTAGAATGCGGAGAAAATCATACGCCCGGGCTATACGAAGCGATAAAAAAGTATGCAGCCGGGCTATAGTTCCTGTAGCCGGGCTTTACACTTTATCGCCTGGCTGTTGCTTTTTCGCCATCGATTATAAAA